TCTGAGGGGAGTCTGTCCTGAGGGATCTGAGGGGAGTCTGTCCTGAGGATCTGAGGGGAGTCTGACCTGAGGGATCTGAGGGGAGTCTGTCCCGAGGATCTGAGGGGAGTCTGTCCTGAGGGGTCTGAGGGGAGTCTGTCCTGAGGGATCTGAGGGGAGTCTGTCCCGAGGATCTGAGAGGAGTCTGTCCTGAGGGGCTGACAGGAGCCTGTCTTGAGGGGCTGAGACGAGGCCTGTCCAGCAGAGAACTGCTGAGAGGGCTGTCCTGTACGGAAGAAGGGCCCTTTTGACTCCGTGCTTACTGATTCTGATCCCTAGTTGTACCTGTTCTTTAATAAGCCCCATAACTACACAGCCCGTAGGCTCTGTGTGGTCACTGTAGCAGATTATCAAACCTAGAAGAGATGTAGCAAGTGCTGTGGCAGGGAGGTGACTGTGACCTCTACCCCCGGGAAATCAGCTTTGGGTGAATCCTGGTCATTCTCCCTGCTGAAATTAAACAGGTCCTGAAGCTTCTACTACTTAAAACGTACAATTATCAAGGAGTTTTCCAGACCCAAACCTGAGCACGTATACTTACCTGCCATGGGTAAAAAAGAGGGGTCTGGTCTAAAGGAACCCTCAGGGGAGCAACGATGACCAGCTCGAACAGGAGCCCCAGGAGGAGGGGGACAACACCCGCCAGTAGCACCGCGACCACCAGCGTCTTCATGATCTGCCAGGGACAGGAGGCTAGTCATTAGCTCATCTTGACGGGAAACCAAGCTCCAGTCACTCTGAGATTTATTTTTCTTCCTTTACTGAAGGCCTCACAGAACAAATATAGAAGCTTCTCAGGTCACGTGGTCACATGAGATTTCTGAGTCCATGACTGCAAAAGCTCTGACTCCATCAAAACAGCTGAGGACAGTAAATGCTGATGGGGATGTGGAGAGACTGCAAAAGGGTCCAACCTCTCTGGAAAGCAACATGGCGCTTCCTCAGAAGGTGATCAGCAATTCCTCTACTTGGTATTTACCCACCAGAAATACGAGCCAAAACACGAGAAGATATATGGACACCAATGTTCATAGCATCACTATTTACAATAGCAAAAAGATGGAGACAGCCAAAGTGCCCAGCAACTGAAGAATGGATAAACACACTGTGGTACATATACACAATGGAATACTATGCTACCTTGAAGAACAACAAGGAAGCTGCAAGCCATCGCATAACATGGATGAACCTTGAGGACATTATGTTGAGTGAAATCAGTCAGTCACAGAAGGAGGAATACTGTATAGGACCACTACTGTAAAAGACTAAGAGCAAGAATCCATACTAATGGGGGGCGGATTTTTTGCTGGTTACTGGGATGTGGGAAGGAGCTCTGGTAGCGTAGTGCTTACGAATTGGGCTGCGAACCACAAAGTCAGCAGTTCAAAACTCCCAGTTGTTCTGCGCGAGAAAGATGAGGCTTTCTACTCCCGTAAAGATTTACAGCCTCGGAAACTCTGTACAGGGTCGCTGTGAGTCAGAACTGACTCCACGGCACACAACAACAACAACAACAAATGGGTTGTGGGAGGTGGGGCGAGAGGAGGGAGGGGAAGGTGGAGCACAGGGTAGGAAATAGACACAGGATAGTTTGGGTGCTGGGGAGGGGGGCAACGTACGACAATGGGGAGGGGAATGGAAGAACAAAGCGGATGGGAGAACAGTT